TAGATATTAAAAGGTTCCTTAAGGAACCTAATGGAGGGATTAGTAGGAGAATGAAGCTGTGTTTGCTGAACTATACACTAATAGATAAAGAGTTGTTTAAGAAACGCTCTGATGGTGTATTACTAAAGTGTGTAAGTTTGCAAGAAGCCAAGACGATCATGGTTGAGGTGCACGAAGGGATATGTGGAGCTCATCAAACTGGCCAAAGAATGAGATGGTTAATTATTAGGAGTGGATATTTTTGACCAAAGATGGGAGAATTATGCGTTCAGTATGCAAAGAGTTGTTTAGCATGCCAAAAGCATGGTCCAATACAAAGGGCGCCAGCGCGAGAGATGACACCTATTATTAAATTTTGACCGTTCAAGGGTTGGGCGATAGACTTGATAGGGAAGATTTATCCCCCATCGTCCAAGCAACATACTTTTGTTATAGTTGCAACCGACTATTTCACCAAATGGGTAGAAACGGTACCTTTGAAAGAGATCACCCAGAAAAACGTTATAGAGTTTATCCATAATCACATCATTTATAGGTTTGGAATTCCACAAACGTTGATGGTAGATCACGGAACATCTTTGAATGGGGATCAAGTGAACAAATTTCTGAGCGAGTTTGGAGTTAAATTAGTAAACTCCACACCATACTATGCTCAATCCAACGGACAAGCGGAATCTTCTAATAAGATTCTAAAAAATATCATCAGAAAAGATGATAGATGAAAATGCCATAAGTTGGCACGAATGTCTGAACAAAGCCTTATGGGCTTATAGAACATCACCTCGATCAAGTACCAAGGTTACTCCTTTCCAACTTGTTTATGGGCAGGAGGCTGTTTTGCCTATGGAAATCAACGTGCAATCGATTAGAGTGTGCTTGTAGCATAAGTTAAATGATGATGAGTATGCCGAATCACTAGTTCAAAATTTATTTGGGTTAGACGAATTAAAGTTGGACGTCTTAGATAGATTGCAAGTTCAAAAACAAAGAATGACTAAGTTTTATAATAAAAAAGTCATAGCCAAGTCGTTCAGCCTGGATGAACTAGTTTGGAAGACGATACTCCCTTTGGATAGCAAGGATCCAAAGTAGGGGAAGTGGTCGCCCAATTGGGAAGGACCATACAAAATAAACAGTGTGTTGCCCAATGGAGCGTATCACTTGGAAGATTTAGATGGCACCAAGCACGTGAGATTCATTAACGGCAAATATTTGAAAAAATATGTTCCTTCTTTATGGGAATGTGAGTAGATAAAAGTATAATCAAAATATGTTGAACGATTAAGGATAACAAAGTCAGAGCGAAATACGTTCAAATAAAGTCCTTTATTATCAAACGTTCATTACAAAGATGCGAAAATACAAATAATGGATGCTCTGCAAATTACAATCAAAAGTAAGCTAATCTCCCGGTTGATCGATTAGCAAGAGGGTGGACTAACCTCACACCGCCTTCCTAAATGCATCGCTGCAATGGTGGGATCGCCGAGTAAGAGGGTGGGCTGGCCTCACCACCTTCCTAAATGCATCGCTGCAATGGCGGGCAAAGAGGCTGAAAAGCACTCTCAGCAAACAATGTGGCCAGCAAGCATCCCAAAAATTACCTTCTATCATCGACTCCTTGTAAAGGATAAAGAGACGATGGGAAGATCTTCGATGGTAAAAATTTTGCTGCTGGCCAAAAAATATTTCCTGTACCTCCCACACCGAAGGTGACATCAATGCAAATAGTAAAATGGGCAGACTAAACAATCCATTTTTATAGAAAAAACGAAGGTTTTGGATTAGATTGATTGTCGGAGTGCCAAACAATGGCAGCAAATTGGTTTCGAAGAAGAAAATGAAGATGAAGATGGAAGAAAATGTGAAGCATCCGTGCATTTATAAGGGGGTGGAGATGAAGAGACAGAATATGAGCAGCCACATTCTGCTTAATAAATGGAATTAAATAGCCCAAAGTTTTGAGAAAAGTGGTGAAAATATCAAAAGAAAATCGGCAAGATTTTTAGCACAAAGCAGTTAAATGCTTGAAGAATTGACGACTAAAAAACAAACGTCAAATAAATACACAAGAAATTAATATATATGTTCATTAATGATGAACAAAGTTAAAAAGGGAAAATCAAATTACAAAAGAAAAAGGCATCATATGTCTTAATTACAGTCCACCCCACACTGAACGAATTCGTTCCCTAAGTTTTTCCCAATCCTCGTTCTGCCGAGAGAAAGTGATGTTAAACTCGGCCACGACATCATCATCAACTTCTAACTTCTTGTACTGCTCAACCAAGGACTTAGTTCGCTCAATTCCCTGGGAGACGTCGCGCTTTTTAGCAGCCATTCTCGCCTTGCAGTCGTCCATTTTGGCTTGAAGTTCCTTCATCTGAGCAGCCAAGTTAACCATCAAAGGGTCTTCAACCATGACTTCGGAAGAGATTTCTTTCAACTCGTCCTCAGCCTTGTTGATCTCCATACGCAAAGACTCTTTCTCAGATACGGCTCGAAGATATTGAGTACTTTTGTCCTTTAGTTCAGCATTCTTGGCCAGCAAAGAAAGGATCTCGGAGTGGATAACCTTCAACGTCGCTTTAAAATCGGCAGAAAGATTAAGCGACGGAAGCATCAGTGCTTGCTCCAACTTCGCATTCAAATGCTCAAGTTTATCCTTGTGTCTAGCAGCACTAACTCTTCCAATGTCCATATCCATGAAGGACACGTACTCAAATATCGACTGCTTGAGGAACTTCAAATCTTCCTCTGAAGAAGCAGTAGGACGGTCAGATGGAGCAGGGCGAGACGTCTTGACTTGCCCCCAAGAAGCGAACAAGTCTTGGATAGAACGCACAATCTTGTTAGCATCCTGCAAAGAAAATTGCCAATATTAAAGATTCACACTACAACGAACAAGATAGAAATAAAAGTGAAGCAAAGATTACCTCATCAACAATCGTGGAAGATGGCATGTTCTCAGCCAAGTCTGCCACCAACGACTCCTCCATTCATGAGGACTTCCCCTTGTCTGAGCGAGAAGATGTTGCCACAACGGGCAGACTCATAGGAGTATCTACAAAACTCAAGAGCAACAAATCAGAAACCAATAGCACAAGCAAAGGTAAGGCATCAAAAAACTGAATTACCTTCTACTTCGATGTTTTGGGAGTTATAAGGGTTTGCAAAACGACGCACCTTTTCAAGTTATGGAAGAAAACAATGATTGAAATTCTTGAAAATCTCGAATGTTGCTGGAAACACAAAGTGAATATGGCAAAATTTAATAATTGTTATTAATTCTGCCATATTGGGGGGTAATTGTTGACATATAAAAATTCAGCCCAAATCGAATGGTCCAAGGAATGAAGCCCAATTGGAGAATCCCCAAATCAGATAGCCCAAAGAACGAAGCCCAATCAAACAATTCAAGATGAAGGCCCAAATAAGGAGGCCCAAGAACGTGGTAATGTCATCGCCCAAGATTGCAAGTCGCCCAGAATCAGAGCGAATGGAGTACCATGCAGTCGCTCAGAGCTATTACTCTATTCTCGCCAAAACCTTCAAGTCGCCCAAAGTCTTAACAAATATAAAGCGTTGTGGTTAGCAAGAAGTGCAATTATCAAAGCAGTCCCATCACGTTCCACGATTCAAGGAATTCAATCGAAAACGGTTGAACGACGAAGAGTAATGACAACAGTTAAATAAGACAGTTTTCATGACAAGTTGGCCATTATGAGGAAAGTGGGCAGTTGCAGAACGATCAAATAGTTTTTAGGCGGTTGATCACAAAGAAATCGTCCATGAAATATAAAAGGGAAAAAAGACATAGAGCAAAGGACCGATCAAAAACTCTCGAACAGAGAACATGTAATTTTAATTTCCTTAGTTTTAGACTTAAACACTTTTTTCAGTAACTCGTGTGCTTGCGCTGCTTGGAGACATTTTATTTTTGATTTCCAATTGTAAAGTCATCGCCAATAAAACAACACCCCTTTTTGGGACTTTGTCTCAAGAGATTTGTCCTTTACACAATCGTCTGATCTCTTTTAATTGTTAGCGACTAACCCGCACGAAACATTAGGTTTTTAAGGTTTGTTAATTAATTTATTAAATTAAGTTGCAGCTATGGAAAATTCATGTTGTTGGCCATTGCCAATAATCCAATTCAAAATCATGGCTAATCGAACTTCGATAATAAATAATCTTTTTGAGAGATTTTGAGGGGTTAATTTGGTCGTCCAAACAAATATGATCAAACAGATAGTAAGATTCCTAAGAAAAATATGAAATCGTCTGGAGATTCGAGCTCCTCTTCAAGTTCTTCTACTAGTTCAAAAGGAAGTGGTGGAAGTAGTAAAAATTGAGTAGCCCAGTTGAGTGAATTGGAGCATCTCCAACAAATTCTTTAAACATGATATGCTTTCAATTTTAAAGAGCCAACTTCTGCAATCCTGTTCCGAGAAACTATTCAAATTAATATTTTTAATTTAAAGAGTCAGCTAAAATGCATTCAAAGTGCTTCAATTTTCAATGTAAAAAAAAAAATTTAAAAAAAGTTAGCTAAAATAAAACATAAAGAAAAATAATAAATTTCTTTTGAAAAAAGAAAAATTAATTGTTCAATATTAAAGAACTTGTTAGAATATTTCAAAATTTTAAATTCTTAAGTTTGTAAATGCTTCCCAAATGATAAAATATAATAAAAAAAATCTCTTAAAAATGCTCTTATTTCAAGAGAAGAGTTACCATTTCCATTTGAGATAAGAGTTTTTCATTTCCATTTCCCTCAAAAGAGTGACAATTTCTATGGAAATAATAACAATCACACAACAAAAGTGGGAACAAATGACCATTTCCATGTAAAATAATAACTATTAAACATCAAAAGATGGAAAGTAACAACTTTTAAGTTAAAAATTTAATCAATCAAACAAATTTAATTAATCCCTAATAAATAAACGCTTAGCCCGATTCAATTGAACTCCATCAAGCATACCTCATTCCATACCACGTTAACACCGTTTTAATGGGCCAAGCAACTTTTATTCATCACAACACAGGAGACATACTGCATATTATACGAAATACAAACATTCATAAAAATGACGCAAAGTTCCACATGCAAAAACATCATTAAACAAACAAACGCAGAACAACAATCGAAACTTCCAGACAGTTGAAAGTAATGCTCTTTTTTCACCCAGTGATTTCAATAGTCTTCGCTTCAGTTTTCTTCACCTCCTGCTTAGGAACAGTTACAGTAAGAACACCATTCTCCATAGTTGCCTTCACTTCATCGGTTTTCGTATTTTCCGGCAAATAGAACCTCCTGAGAAACTTGCCTCTTCCCCTCTCCATCCGATGCCATATATCATTCTTATCTTCCTTTTCCGCCGCCCTCTCACCGCTGATTTGCAGAACCCTACCCTCCTCCACCTCTACTTTCACCTCTTCTTTCTTCAGCCCCGGAAGATCGGCTTTGAAAACATGGGCCTCCGGCGTCTCCTTCCAGTCTATCCGTGCGTTGGCTGAGGCAGAAATTTCATTGGTTGATTGAAATTGTGGGAAAACTTCGCTCAGAATTTGAGGAACCAAAGACATTTTTCCTTTTTTTTTCTTATTAATTTGATCGTGGGATTCTTTATGAAATGGTGACGTGAATTTTGCTCATATTTATAACGAGTGAGAATGAGGCCATGAAGTTTCAGGGTTCTTCTACAATGCAAAAGAACATAAAAAGTTTATCAGATATTTACAATAATTAGCATTTTCTAGAGAATGCTTTCAATGTCACTGGTATATTATAAATATAATAAGGAAAAACAAAAAGTAAAGCGGGAGCAAACGAGAAGTTTCTGCAACAGGGACTTCGAGAACATCCTCTAGAAAATGCTATTTCAAGTCGCCACGTAAGTTTAGATTTACCAGTCACAACTCGAGATACCGATTAAACCACACTGACAAAAGAATGGTAGAATCCTAGTTGGGGAGAGGTGATTTAATGAAACAGATAACCGCTTTCTAAACAACTTAATGAATATCATGTAACACTATGTCAACTATTATATGAATTATTTTGGTACTGTAGCAGTAGTATGGTTCTGGATATGTATTTGGATTAAACTTTAGAAATTCAATTACGTAGAAGTCCCCGAAACTTCATTGCCCACTCCCATGGTACCCACTATATAAAAATATGAACATAATTCAAAACCATTACACAAGTCTACCAATCGAGTTCGTCAGCTTATATAATCTGCATATTTATTCCATCTCATTTTTCCAATGAGAAATTAAGATGTCTTCGATCACTCAAATTATGAGTGAATTTTTCTAATAACACGTTTTACACAATTATATAGACTTAAAAACTTGCATTTTATGGATATATTGACTTACTTGTATTAGTACCTATTATGATCTCAATTTGAATGTCAATTGAGCATAAAGGAAGAGAATTTGGGCGTAATTGGAGCTTCAAGGATGAAATGGAAGAGTTACCTCAAAGTTTGGACTTGATTAGAAGCTTTGAAAGTACTAATTAGATGAATTCACAAGTTCTGGAGACTAGATTCGACTTTTAAGAATTTGGGACCAATGTGAAAATTCTCCAAACATTGAAGGAAAAAAATGTTTAAGGTCCAAAGTCAAATGAGTTTGGAAGCTGAAGGATCAATCTGAAAGGGAGGACCGAATCTGATTTTATTTAAAGATGGAAGGACCAAAGATGTACAAAAACTTGGAGTTGCGGAGTAAAATTGCAAAGAACCAGTGGCTAAAAGCCTAAAACTGGACGGAAACTGCAAATTAGGGTAGCATGCATAGTTACGATCGTGGCCGATGAATTTTTGGCCCCTTAAGGGCCTGTTTGCCACATGTGCTTTCTGGTCAGAACATGGATTTTTATTTTTATCCAAATTCAATAGCACTTCGGATAATTTTTATACATGACTTTCGAGACGAATTGAGGACTATATAAAGACCAAGACTAGGTCAAGAGAAAGGACCACGCAATATAGATTAATAATGTCATGGGATTAAAGATGAAAGAGAAAAATATAGAGTAGTTATCTTTGATGTTATGGATGGTCAAAACTAATATTTGGGATTCGCTTGCGCTAAGCCTCGGGAAGTAAAGTAAATAGAAGCCTTGCACGGGATAATTTCTTTAAAATGATAAATAGCGCAAATCAAAGCAAGTTGTCTTCATCCATTTCGAGTTTTCCTTGACAGCGAAGAATGTGCGAATTCGAGATCTTGAAGAAATTCATCATTGAGGCAACCATCTTTTCATCTAGATTTTTCGGGTATGAATTTTTCAACTTTCTATCTTTATTAAACCATCCATGTTCTGCTAAACTTTTTGTGGATAGAATTAACAATGAAATCGCTCATTTTTGTTTAATTCTAGTGAGTCAATTGTTTATAATTTGAGTCGTGCAACACTTGCAATAAATCCTTCACAGATTTCCAATAAGGATTTGCTTATACATTGAGCCTTATCCTCATTATTCTCTTGTTCTCTATTGAAGTTTGACCCCATTTGAACTTGTTTGTGGTTTATATTTCTTTCGAGAGATTATATATAAATTATCACATGGTAATAAAAAAGAAAATAGTCTTATAATAGATAGAGATGTATTATGCTCTATGAAATCGTTATATGATGATCTCTGTGAATTAATGCATGCTTATATGTTTGCAATTTAATTAGAGATAATTAAATTCATATATGGGTATGATTGATTATTTTTGGATCATTGATTTTTAACATGGTAAGGATTGATAATTCAATCATATATCGAAGATGAATTCGACGTCCTAGTATTTTACATGATTGAATTTTACTCTTAAAAATCTCTTTTCATGCCAAATAGGTGCTCAATTTACTTAGCAATCGTAAAATCAATGTTAAAACCATCAATTAATTGTGTATTCTTGTTAATGTTAATTACGATTAGATTAAAGTCAATAATCAATCTTCATAGGATCCGCTCATCATTATATTACTTGTTAACGATATGTTCTCCTGTGCGAGAAATTGACAAGTTTTGATGATGTTGTCAGCGATTGTTTCTTTTATATTATTGCGGAGGACGCAGAAGCTGTTTTCCACAGCTCCGTTTACCCAAAAACGCGTTGCTTTTAGTCCTTAAAGTCCATCAGAACTCACCACTTGGAAACGTCCAAGGAAAATTTACAGCTGCAGTTCTCAAAGTATACCATTCATCATGCTTAAATCCTTATTTATTATTTTTGGCATTTACCTCACAAACTATCAATTTCGCTTACTGAGTCAGGTGGTGTGAAATATGACGAAAATTTCATGTTTGATGCTCATTGATCCCTTCCAAAATCAATGAGCTTGAATTCACTCCATTCAGAAGGACCATAATCAGGGCGGCCTTGGGAATTTAGAGGCCCTAAGCGTTTAATTATTATGGGACCACTCGACACAAAATTTATTTTACAAGTCTAACAATATGTAAATATTTAAATAATTAACACTTTTATATTAGTAGATAGAATGGAGAAAAAAATGTTTCTTACACTTAAAAAACTAAAAATATTTCAAAAAATATGGAATATAATTAGAGCACGTTTATCCAAATTAAATTCGAAGAAAAAAAGAAGACATAAGATGATAAGAAAATGAACTAAATAATTTATAAGATGTACTTTCATTTTCATAATAAGATCTTCATGTAAATTAAAGTTTAAATTTTCGGTCTTTACATTTTTTTACCTTTAGACTCAGTGCTAAATAACTCAATAATTTTTTTTGCAGCTTCATTACTTTTACTTAATATGATGTAATAAGTGCTTAAGGATCAGGATTATATCCACACACAGACACGTATCCATAGAGAGATGGCAGGTTGTCAAGAATCAAAATCACAAAATGCTTGTACATAAACTTTTCAAATCCTTGTCCCAACTCCCAATCAATTGTAATGCTTTCTGTATGAATCAGTCACAGTGCCAACATTATTATTATTATTATTTTTTTTTAAGAGATAAGGCCCCCTACAATATGAGGCCCAAGGCAGTGGCCTCACTTGCCTTGGGCCAGGGCGGCATTGACCATAATTTAAGATAACGGTCTGCTTGAGCCAAATCTTTGCTTTTGCCATATTGGTTTTTGTTAGGTTTCATGACGCGAATGTTCAAATTTTCAATCGATGCTTTCTATTGGCGTCATTTCATCAAGCATTCATGCTATGTGATATACATTGGGCTTAATTTTTCCATCGGTTTTGTTTATCATTTTGATCTATCTTTTCCGTTTCTCAACTGAGTACAGTTTTTGAATGATATAATAAAATGGATCCATGTGCAACAAGTGTAAAGTTCAGGCACTGCCGGTAAAAATCTTTAAAATGATAATACGAAACTTTGACAGGTTTTGTCACCATATCCTATTCTTGGTCACTGACTCACATTCATTTATTCATTTTCTATATTTATCGAGTGTAGCACTCTCTCCTAACTGCATATAAGTAGGAGGAAATTCATAAGGAGAACCAAAACTAGAAAATGGCCTCATTTATTTATTTTGCATGTTTGGTATTCTCTCCTATAAGCATGTGAATTATCGACACCCCTACAAAATATGACATCTTTGATTTTGTCTAACTCCCATCTCGCACACAAAATTCTCTCATCTTTTCTCTTCCGCAAAATTGTCCACTTGATTCCATGAACAATAATAGTATGAACATAGATGATACGGCCACGCACATGACCTTTTTCTGGGGCAAAGATGTAGTGGTTCTGTTTGACAGGTGGCCAAACGACCGCCTTGGCATGTACATACTGGCTCTGGTCTTTGTGTTCTTGCTGGCTGTGGCTGTTGAAATCTTGGCGGCGCCACCTATAAAGCCGAGGATGAGGCCTTTGAGTGGTAGCTTGATTCAGGCGGCTGTCTATGCTGTTCGTATGGCTCTTGCTTACTTGGTCATGCTCTCTGTCATGTCCTTCAACGCCGGAATCTTCATTGCCGTGGTGGCTGGCCACGCTGTGGGGTGCTTTTTCGTCAAGTGCAGGGCGATAGCGGCCATTTATAGGGCAGAGGATGATGCCGCCGCTCCTCTAAAAGCTTAGTTCTACTGTATCTTTACAATGAAGAAATGATCAAATAAAATGTAGAGACTTTGAGGGTGTCTTCTACTTGGGAAAGGGTGATTATATTACTACCACAATAACTGTTTGACACATCACAAATTTTTTATTTACTTAAATAACTATGAGTAAAATGACATAAGTATCCTATCTATTATTCACTTGTATATTTATTAATTTCATCACCATCATCTGTGCACAACAAAAATATATAACTCCTAGTTAAGTAAACATGCAATAATTCACGCTTCAAAAGATTCAATCATACCATTGTGGTGGTTATATTACCATCACTCTAGTTTTTTACCCTAGAGTTACAACATCCAAAACTACACAAGGATTTGAAATTCTACAACCACATAAAAGAGAATCAAAGGCCCTACTCGAGATCCAAAAGCCCTAATTGCTGATACTATTCATTCTCTATCGCATACCATTTCGATATTTTTACTAGCATTATATAATTATTTTAGCGGTATAACTTGGTTTTCTCCAACAGTTCTCAGCCATTGGTTTTTTTTTGCTAGCCAAAGCAACTCCCTACCTCAATGAATGCATGAATAGCGATGCAGTAGCGGAATGTAGTTTTTGCTGAAGTTACTAAATTAATATCCATTTTGATTTTTTTTTTTTTTTGAATAAAGATTGTTTATGGCAATAGAAGAAAACGGTGGGGAGCCTTTTCTTGAGAGGGACAAGAGAGAAGGAAAATGTACACCACCTTTTTTGTTTTTAAATTGAGTTAGGTTATAAATTATAATTATAAAATTGTTTTGGGGTGTTTATGAAAAGCATATTTTGATAAGGTGTGCATAAAAAGTGGTGTAACAATAATATTTATGGAGGCAATATAATTATTCTTTTTAGTTTTTATTGGATTAAGGACTATATTTGTAAATTTGATGTAGTGTATTTATGAATAATATATTTTAATTTTGGCGTGAATATAATGTGGTGTAGGAAGTAAAATTTGTAGTGGTAATATAATTATCTCTCAGGAAAATTATCTTAACGCCATTAAATTTAGTGAAAAGACAAAATTTACCCTCAAGTTTATAAGAAAAGAACAAATACATAAAGTGTTTGTTTGTTACAGATTTTAAGTTAATTAAAATCAATTTTTTGATCGTTATTTCACTATTTCAGTCGTCATTTTTAAATTTTTCTCTCATAGATAGAACCCACTCAATCTCTAACAGTCAAAAAATCGATTATCACTACAAAATTTGTTAAGTGCACCACATTTTTAATATCTTTTTTATTTACTTAAATAGCCTCAAGTAAAATTACGAATTAGGGTCTTAATGTACTTTTAATTAATCACACCACATTATAATCACACCACAAATATAAACCTAATTTCTTTTTTACAATAAGGAATTTCTGCTTATTGAAAAGAAATTTGTGAACTGCGGTGGACTAGCACAAAAACCTATTTTTACAATAAGGAATTTCTGCTTCTTGTTTAATGAGAATAAATTAAATTTTTATTATCCGTTTCTGAATACTATCCTTATTTATAGCATTGAAACCACTCAGCCACTGAATTGATTTGCCACATCTCATTGATTTCTCTTAAACAACGTTACCTGAAGCACGGTATTCCAAGGCAGTGTTTGGTGGAACGAAGATATCTATTCGTTGTAATCATCAATTATAAGAACAAACTTACATCAATATATTTTATATCATAAAATTAAACATTAGTCGATATTTTTCATTAAAAAACTGCCAAATATTAGCACTAATATTCAAGTTAGGGATTGCCCACTGCCACTCAAAATAGAAATCCCAGAGGTAAATATTTGGACTTCTTTTGTTACAAATATACCTCACTGTAGTTCAAAATCATATTCCACTATCTTTGACACCAAATTCAAACAAATTTCAAATAAGGTCTTTTGGTCCATATACAATCTCCCACTGGATGTTAGCACCTAGAGGTGTAAGTGTTATGTCCTAGATCCAATTGATTTAGGTTGTAAACGCTTTTAATATATTTAATGCATTTGATTTTGGCGAGATCTATTATTTATTTAAATTAATTTTGTGATAAATAATATTAAATAATAGAATCCGAAGATCCAATTTTTAGGTAATCTGTTAATCACAAGGAGTTGTGATTGTGAGATACAAATTACATATAATTGGATCTTGAATAAACCATGGTCGTAAGTAATAACGAGATACGGATATCGTTAATACAATTAGACCATCACGTGTGGCATTTCTTACTTGTGAAGTAAGTAGTTGATCTCACGAGTTAAAGTGTGGTGACACTTAAATGAACACGAGGATGTTTTGTTATTGAACAAAACATTGGAGACCCGTTAAGAGATTCCACATGGATAACTATCTGAGTGTCAGTGGCTAATCTCTAACGTTCGGTAGTAGAATTGGTCCTTTGACTTGAGGTCGTCATGGTACCTCATATGAGGACAGTCATACTTTGGCGGTGTTGGATGTTGCTCTCAAAGGGCCGCAAATACGACATCGTTCGGGTACGTCAAGAATCGTATGAAAGTTGTGATTGATCAATAAAAGATTTGTCACTCTTAGGTAGTAGGAGATTATGATCTGCGTTTCATTCAATTAAGTCGATGATAAAATCTTTGGCCAATGTGTACTCATAAGTCGAAAAGGAGTTTTCGATTTATATTGACTTAATAGTGGAGTGAAAGATATGATCAATGATCGAGATTGACACAATTTCATATCTCGTAATTGATCGGATCGTAATGACGAAGGGATAATAGTTTCACGGTAAACGAACGAATTTGGTTTTGTCATACCACGTGACATTTCCCGTCACATGTATTGCCCTGACACATTGCTAGATGTCAATCAGGGACGGCGAGTGTGAATTGACGATAAATTAAAAGGGTGTATTAATTCATCAATCTTGATTAAATCAAAATAATATTTCACGACGTTAGGCATCGTGGTCGGGAACCTAATGGGTCGCACACAAAAGAGAATTGGAAGATTGCAAATTGCCAATTGGTTAATTTAACAATCGTTGGATAAATTAATTACTTGAATTTGTTATTTATATTCCCGAATTAATTAATTGGATTAATTAATTCACGAATCGGGTTTAATTAATTGGATTAATTAAATATTGGACCGGACCGGACCGGGTCCGTTTGGGTTTATATATATACATAGCTAGAGTTTGAGGTTCATAAGGTTTTCATTATTCTTGCTGGTACAAGAGAGAAACCCTAGCAGTTGCAGTCTATTCTGTGTGTGGATTTCATTTGAGGCTGGACAATTGGACAGCTGTGGGAGGCAGATTCAAGCTGCTTGAAAGGAATAACGCGAACGAGTTTGCAAATTACAAGAAAAGGTTTATTTCTTATCACAGTTTTTATCTAAATACAAAGCTGAATCCTGAATGGGAATTGAAATTTGTTAAATTCCACTGTGCATATTTAAGTAAATTCCCTACAAGAGGAACGTTAGCTGGACTGATCATGTCACAACAAAATAAATATGAGAATATAGCTAAGTAGAATGATGTCAGCAATAAAAATGAAGACAGGACGGTGAGCATTTTTTGAGTGATTATAAATATGTATAGATAATAAAAGAGTGTAAATAAAGAAAAATTTACCTAGGAAATTTGTCGAAAGCATTATCAGGAGGGCATGTTACTAGGGCTATCTTTCTAGGCAGCATCAGTCGAGTGCATATTTCAAACCCTTCTGGTACCTGATTGGAAAAAGAATCATAACTTATCAATACAAGTAACATACAGCCAAAACCAAAATAACAAACAATCAAGGTTTTCAGAAACTATATTTGGCCTTGCACAACAACGGAATGAACCGTTGCATGTTGTCACACCTGTCCTACCCACCTGGGCCAATGGCCCACTCATCCTGATCCACGTGACATTCCTGCCGAGGTGTCACATATTGTCGAGGTTGGTTGTATCTGAAGTGCATCAAGCCGAGGTCCATCTGCCGAGGCTCCGCGATCCGATGCACACGAGTCTGCCGAAGTCCAACTATCGAGGCCCACGAACCGAAGCATGGGACCTGTTGAATGTAGCTGAGGTCCTCAAGTGGAAGTATTTGTCAAATGGTTGAAGCCCCGAAGCTGATGCACGAGCCTCTTGACCACAAGGAGCTTCCTCCACAGTCACTCCTCCCAAGAGATCGCCTGCTCAGAGATCTTATTCGAATAACTGATGGAACGTTTGTCACAAGCATAAAGGTCAAGTCTTGTCACTGGTATAAAGGACCTGTGGAAGCAATAAATGCACCGTAAGCTAGCAAGTCAAGTCCCATACCTAAGAACAGACGTTTAGACTAAGGGGATGAGGCCATGTGCCACTTCGTCCAAGGGCTCCCATTTCATATGTATCACTATAAATACTCACATTGTGTAATGTCAAAGGCGAATGCAAGAATCAATACAAAGAACTACATTTACTCAACTCTCTCTCATTTTACTTGCAATACACAAATCGAGTTTATACACATTTACATATACATTTACAAGAACCGGTTGGCAATTATTATACATCCGGATTACGAACAACCCGCCGGATTCCGAACGTCACCGCCCCGCATCGTTGGGCTACTCCCACGCCCCTTTGAACCGCTCGTTTTAGACCGTCCACGTGTCTTAGCGTGTTGGACATTCGCCCACGCAAGCGCGGGTGGGACCGGCATCTGTTGGCGCACTTTTTGGGGTCAACAGATTGGCGCCGTCTGTGGAAAACCATACCATAACCACGAGCAACCTTGTGGTGGAAGCTTGCTGAAAAAATAATTGGGCAACCCCCCTTGAAAAAGGATTTGTTCTTGGAAAAGAACAGGAGGAACCCCTATCACTTGGAGAAATTTAAGTTTGACAAAAGAAAAATGAGTTCTAACGAAGATACTCCCCCAAGGAGGGTAAGAGAAAGCACGAATGTGCCTCCCCAGCCTGCTGCCCCAGCAGCTCGGACGAGGCTCCACCACCACCAAAGG